TAGCATCGGTGCATAATCTCAAATGTGAGAGTGGCACAAAACAACAAGAACCAAGAAGTGAAAATGAAGAGAAGTATGTTTAATATGAGCCAAGGCGGCGGCGTCGTCGTCGTGTTGTTGTTTTTCCTCTGGAGAGCGGTCTGAGAGGCGACAGACGGGCCAGTGACAATGTAGGGTTTAATGGTACTGCAGAAAGAAATGTTACTCAGGGAGACAAACTTGATACATCCCTTAATCTTATATTAGCTGTGTTACACTTTCAGTCACAACTATGAACGTACGTACGTGCATGCAGTTCTGTTCACTGAGAGCGAGAGAGTCCGAGTGTGTGTGTGTGTGTGTCTGCAAACGGGGTCTGCATGCTGCACAATCTGACCTAGATTATCTCTCCTCCTCCTCCTCCCCCACCGCCGCCTTCTCCCTCTGTTTATTTTTATTTTTTTTTATCTCACCCCGAATCATGTAGAACCTCTTAAACTCCTACGTCAATATATATTAAATTATGGTGCTGTCCGAAATCCACACAAACACGGTGCATGTTATTACGGACCACACAGCTCCCAGGTGTTCACCCCCCTCCCTTGTTTCCTCAGTGAAAGTGTCAGGGATTTCCACTCTGTCTCCGTATGTTTTTCCGTTTTTATAGAAGTGATTTTTATTGCTTTTCACTCCAGAATATCAGAAATGCAAGTGAATTAAAAGAGAAAATACTGTTGTCCTGTTGTACTAGTGGTGAGCATAAGTGGGAGGGTGCATGAAATCAAGACCTGTTTGTCAGACTGAGTGACGATGAAAAGAGAAACTGTACAGTAACCAAATGAAGTTGTAATAGTTTCTTTTTCTAAAGAAAATAAAAAAAATGATTATTAACTAAAAAAAATCCCATGGTCCAATGGTGGTGATTTGTCTCTTAATTCTTGGTTGGAGAAATGTTGCCAGTGTTGACCTACCACACAGGTGTTCAGTGTCTGCTGAGTGGGAAAGGATCTGTGCTCATTAACTAGAAACAGAGTGTCATTCAACACAGTTCTCTGAAATTGTTGTTTTTTCTTTTCTTCTAGTAATCAGTTGGTGAATAAACCAAACGTCCTTTACTTGAAGACCTTGTAACCGGAGCTGTTACTGTGATCTAAAACCTGGGCCTCGACACTGAGTCACATCCCTGTGACACAACTTCAAGTCAGTGTGTGATAACTGACACGGCCGTGTTGTCATGTACCACCATGAGCGTCATGGTCATAAAACTGAACTGTATCTGGGTCACATGGTCTTATGTGGATAAGATCCATAGCAATTATTGGGGAAAAAAAGATTAATCACAGAATAACTGTGATTATTCATGATTAATTGCATAGCAATTATTGGGGAAAAAAAGGATTAATCACAGGATAACTGTGATTATTCATGATTAATTGCTAGTACAAAAACAGCTTTTTGTTCCTGAGAAATCCAAATGCTGGAATTATTAATATGGAAAAATGTCAAGGAAACTAATCAAAACAACAGGAGCAGGTATAATGATCTTACCCTGGAAACTTCATTGAGTTTCCGACCCTGGTGAGAACTAAAGGGACAGCAGTAAGCCTTAAGTAGCTTTGTCTGCAGGCTAACTTAGGTTATAGGTCTGTAGCGGCAGCTGCGTCCACCCTGCTGAGACTTCTGGGACATCTGTCTCGTTAGGTAACTTACAAAGAAGTCATTAACCAAGTTCAGGTGCTCGGTGTGGCCATTCAAAAACACTGGAGATGACAGGCAGTTCATTAACTCGGAGCAAGTTAGTTGGACAAGAAATCAACTCTTTTAAACCATTAATTTAAGTCAAGTTAAAAATTACATTTTGAATTTCTAAAAACATTTGACTGGAATATAATATATATAGAAATGTAAATACAGTCATTGTTGTACTGTTGTATGTACAAATATTATTGAAAACCCAATTCAATTAAAAAAACAAATCAAATATTTTGGCAAGAGAATAAAAATCCAAACAAACTTACTTTTTGTGTAAGTTAGTATCACCCCATCCTCCTCAAGATTTTGTTTATGTACCGAAACATTCAATAAACATTGATGAAAACAGCCCTACACCGTAATAACATCTAAATTCACCCTGGCATTTTTGCCTTATTAGCATCCAATCTGGTTGCGTAACAGAGCAGCTGCAAAAACTGGGGTGAAGAAAAGAGTGGGCTCAGAAGATGACTCCCTGGTAATAATGACGCCAGTCTGATCATCATCTCCTGTGACACCGGTGATTCATGGATGTTTACACTTGCAGGCGTTTGTCCTGAGGGAAGATAAAATCAAGTTTCTACAGAGAGCGGAGCGACCGGTTCCTCCACATCAGCTGTAGAGAAGAGCAGCGAGAGAACAAGAGGCAGAGGAAGGCAGTTGGGAATGTAAACTGGAATCTGACACAGGTGCTAAAAAAGCTGGCTGCTGTTTGAAGTTTGAAAAACGCCACACTGCAAATGTGGGCGGAGATCATTGTCATGTGTATTTTAATAATTACAGGCTTTTGCGATTACTGCGCTTAAAAAAACAAAACAAAAAAACTAACAATGGTTCGTCTGAAACCGGTTTTCTTTGCAAATTTTTTTTTTAATCACTCACACCTCAATGTCAACAGTTTGGACGAAAAAGAAGAAAGACTGTTTTTTGTGTTAGAATACAATTCTACCTAATTACTGTTCTTTGTGTTAGAATACAATTCTACCTAATGGCGCCTCTAGTGGCAGCTTGTGTGGGTTGCAAAGAGTCACACTGAATGTCTCAGTGGCGAGATGAGATGAGACAACAACCCTTTTCTGTTGAGGCTCATTTAACCGACATTGTTTGTTAATTTGCTCTTTCAAACGTGGACATAGTGCGGCTCAGGGACGGATCACTGGAGAACTGAACGTCTCATTTGAAAATGTGCCGTTAGCGTAGAAGCTCTGCTCACGTTCTGTTCACTCAGCTGTGTTAACCATGTAAAACGTTTCTTTTTTCTGAAACAAACGACTGTCTCTGTGTTTTTGTCTCCCCCTCTCTCTC